GGACCTCCATTGTGGAAGCAGCCGTACGGAGCTGTGGCTGCAGGGTCGTCGATGCCAGTCGTGGCGGTAACCCCCATACCCGATGGTGGACACTAGAGGTGAGGGGGGCTGTCAAGCTGAAGAAGGAGGCTTACCGGGAATTATTAGCCCGGGGGTCTCCGGAGGCAGCTTACGGGTACCGGCAGGACAGGTGGAACGCGGTTCGGGCTTTCGCAGAAGCAAAAACCCGGGCGTGGGAGGAGTTCGGTGAGGTCATGGAAAGTGACTTTCGGTCGGCCTCAAAAAGGTTCTGGCAAACCATCCGGAATATCTGGAGGGGGAAGCAACTCCTGGTTCCTACTATTTATAGTAGGGAGGGGGTGCTGTTGACCTCATCTGCGGACATCACCCGGAGGTGGAAGGAATACTTTGAGGACCTCCTCAACCCTGCCTCAGATACATCTACGGACATTGCCTTTGAGACATCTGAGGGCACAGAGCCCGAGGGTGCTGGGGGGGGCTTGCCCATCACTGGGGCTGAGGTAGCCAGGGTGGTTAAAGAGCTACATGATGGCCGGGTCCCGGGGGTGGACGAGATCTGTCCGGAGTACCTGAAGGCTCTGGATGTTGTGGGGCTGTCATGGCTGACACGCCTTCTCAACAGTGCGTGGAGGTCAGGGACAGTGCCGCTAGATTAGCAGACCAGGGTGGTGGTCCCCTTATTTAAGAAGGGGGACTGGAGGGTGTGTTCCAACTACAGGGGGATTACACTTCTCAGCCTTCCTGGTAAAGTCTATTCCAGGGTACTGGAGAGGAGGGTGAGATCGATAGTCGAATCTCGGATTCAGGAGGAACAATGCAGTTTTCGTCCTGGCCATGGAACACTGGACCAGCTTTATACCCTTGCAAGGGTACTGAAGGAGGCCTGGGAGTTTGCCTATCCAGTCTACATGTGTTTTCTGGATTTGGAAAAGGCTTACGACCGGGTTCCCCAAGGTGCTCTGTGGGGGGTGCTTCGGGAGTATGGGGTCCGGGGTCCACTGTTGTGGGCAATTCGGTCCCTGTATGAACGGAGCAGAAGCTTGGTCCTCATTGCCAGTAATAAGTCGGACGTGTTCCCGGGGCGGGTTGGGCTCCACCAGGGCTGCCCTTTGTTATCGGTCCTGTTTATAATATTTATGGACAGGATTTCTAGGTGCAGTCAGGGTGTTGAGGCTGTCCAGTTTGGTGGCCTCAGGATTGCCTCGCTGCTTTTTGCAGACGATGTCGTCCTGTTGGCTTCATCTGCTGGGAATCTCCAGCATGCTCTGGGGCGGTTCGCAGCCGAGTGCGAAGGGGCGGGGATGAGGATTAGCACCTCCAAGTCCGAGACCATGGTTCTCAGACGGAATCGGGTGGATTACCCTCTTCAGGTCAGGGAAGAGATACTGCCTCAAGTGGAGGAGTTCAGTTGAGGTGGCTTGGACACCTGGTGCAGATGCCTCCTGGGCGGCTACCTGGAGAGGTTTTCCGTGCATGTCCTACAGAGAGGAGGCCCCGGGGCAGACCCAGGACTCGCTGGAAAGATTTTATCTCTCGGCTGGCCTGGGAAAGCCTTGGTGTCCTCCCCGAGGAGCTGGTAGAGGTAGCTGGGGAGAGGGAGGTCTGGGTATCTCTCCTGAAGCTGCTACCCCCGTGACCCGAACCCTGGACAAGCGGTAGGTAATGGATGGATGGATGGATGGATATGTGTGGTTACACTAGTTTTTGTTTGTGAGTCACGAGGACATCTGTTGTAGTTATTTTGTATCTGAGTCAATGACAAGTACAGAGTAGTTCAGAATTAAGAGAGGAGGGATGTTATGAAGTGACTATTGGAGGTTATTGCAGCCCAGGACCAATAGAGGGCACTGGTGTTATTTTGTATCACGGATTTACATCAGTAGTCAAAGAATGAATATGGCTTAGTCAGGCGAGGTCCATGTTCAGTTATATTATAACATTGCAAAGTTGTTATCTGAAATAAAGCCAGCTTATCTGATGATAAGCCATGTGCATCTGGTAAGTGATATAAGAATGTCATAACACAGCTTTCACCATGTTTTACAGATGTTGCAGTATGCTTTGGATCATGAGCTATTCCTTCAATTCTCCATACACCTTTTAGCTATATAATAATACTGCTCTATAACTGTACAGGCTGTTTAGATGTTTTATGGTAAAATGTAATGTGGCCTTCATATTCTTGAGAATTAGCAGTGGATTACACCTTGTGGTTAATCCTCTGTATTTACTTTCATGAAATATTTTCTTTATTGTAGACTTTGACAATGATATGTCTACTTCTCAGAGAGTGTTCTTGACTTGGCTAGATGTTGTGAAGGAGTTTTCCTTCGCCAACAAAATAATTCTGTGATCATTCACCAGAATTGTCTTTCATGTTCCTTTTGCTGTTGCTGGGCTAAACAATGTGTTCCATCTCTTTAAAGTAATGTAGCAAACTGTTGATTTGGCCACTCCTTCTGCTATCTCTCTGATGGGTTTGTTTTTTTCTCAGCCTAACGATGACCTGCATTACGTGCATTTCTCAGCTCGTTAGCTCTGATATTGACAGCTCACAACAGCAGCTTCCATATGCAAATTCCACAAGTAGAATTAAGACCAGACTATTTACCTGTTTAATTGTTAATGACATTACAAAAGAACAACCCACACCTGACAAAGAAACAGCTTGTCAGTCAATTCTCCAATTACTGTAATTCCTTAATGGCTATTACGATATTTTAGGGCTGGGCGATATCATATCAATATTATATTGCGAATTTGCAGCAACCACCAGAGCTTCAGATGACAGGCAAAAAATTTGGCTGAACACTAGCTTTTTGGTACTATTCAGACATTTATTTATGCCCACAATTTGTTAAGTAGATTAGTAGTAGAGCTAAAATATTAATGAGGCATTTTATGACACCCAAAAGTTAATAATAAGTATGAATTCAGCATATCCTTCTGTTTAATAAACATGTTGGACTTTAAACTGCAAAAAGTACCACCACACAACTGACGTATTTCTGCCTTTATCCACAAGTTTTTCTCTTTTAAAATATTTTGTGGCTGCTGAGCTGTTCCTTTCTCCACCACCACTTCAGTGCATGTCATACTGCAGTATACCAAACCATAGTATATCAAAACAATATTATGTGGTGTGCTCCACTAATCAAATTCAATAAACATAAAGATATGCCAGATTTATACAGATTACTAGCTTTTAGATGTCACAAAATGCACCTCATTAATATTTTATCCATACTATTAATCTGCTTAATAAATTGTGGGTGTATTATTATTTATTAAACCCCTAAAATTAAAGCTGAATATCTATATTAAATTACATCTTGATTGTTCCATTTTTCTAATCCATTGTGGTGGTGTACAGAGCCAAAATTATGATAATTGTGTCACTGTCTGAATCTTTTTCACCTAACTGTATGTGAAATGGTATCTGCATGCCATAAACACGAAAGGTATTTAAATTGTTAATGACCATCTATACATTTTCTTATTTGATTGATTGCCTTCTCTAACTGCTGTTTGCAGCATTAACTGGGACTTTATGTAAGGTATGCCTTTTGAATTTAGTGGAAACTCGATCGTACAGTAAATCTTATTCAGTACCCACATTTGTGGAGGAAAATTGAACAATTTAGGAAAATTTATGGAGAAAATGAGTTTTACATAGAAAACTTGGAACAATAATGGAGCAGTGCTATTTTAGTAGCATTGTTTCATATCATTATTTTTATGCAGAATTGTTCAGATGAAATTTCAAACAAAATTCAATTCTTAATAATTTGTCAAAATTATAAAACATAAACTACCAACATCATTACACAATTACATTTTTATATAATGCACACAGTTCTCCAGTGACTTGCCAGTATAAAACTGACTTATCAAGAGCCACTCCTAAACAGAGGTCTACTCATTAGCTAAAGCTAGCAGCAATTTATTATAGTCTACATAATGGATTTTGAAAGGATTTACAGATCAATTGAGGAACAGTAACATCAATATGAATTGTAATTTTTTTGTTTTTATTGATACATTTTGATTCAGGATATCAGTCTTATAAATCACATAAGTACGATGCCAACTGCACCAAATAACTTGCAACATATTCAATATTTAATAGTGTCATATGTTAACCCAACAGAAAACTAGCAAGGGTCTACAGGATACTGTAAATGGCCCAAAACAAAATAAAGAAAATACAAATCAAATTAGGCCATCTTATTGCTTCTTCTCAGGAAAAGTCACTAAATGGATATTGGTTCTGTACTCCTTATCACAAAAATGAACAAAAGGTATCCGGTCTTAGCCTGAAACTGGTCACATGGTGTTTGCACAGGTTTTAGTTTGGTTTTGATAAGGGATTTTGTAATTTTGTAACCATCCCACACATGTATAAGGTATTTTCTTCTATACATTTTTGTGGCCTTTGACTTTTTAATAAAAAAAAATGAATAACCCACAAGTATATGCTATGATACGATTATATATATATATATATATATATATATATATATAACCCTATCATAGTATATACTCATGGGTTATTAATTTTTTTTTATGAATTTTTAAATTCATTTATATATACATAATCGTATCATAGTATATACTCATGGGTTATTCATTTTCTTTAAATTAAAAAGTCAAAGGCCACAAAAATGTATAGAAGAAAATACCTTACACATGCGTGGGATGGTTACAAAATATATATATAAACCCATGAAGCCTGGAACAAAGAAAGTTATAAAACACATACACACACTACCCAATTTTGTTCTTTCATTCTATAAATGACTTCTTAGTAAATAAACACATGCAAACAACACATGGTAAATTTATTCAGTTTGACATTGACAGAATTGAACATTCACTGCCTCTTAAGTTCAAGAAAAATATTGTGCTGTTTTGCTAGCTATCTTCCTTTGTTTTTAGCAGATAATTCTCATTATCTTTTTAGTGTAGTTGTTTCTTACCTGGCAACCCAAGAATTGTAAAGTACGGGCGACACTCTGTGAAGCCAGAACTCTGTCTGACACAGGATCTCCATAGGCCCCAGTAGCTATAGACTGATGTTACAGGATTGTCAAAAAGGTCCTCTGTGCTCCACTGGTCCAATGCAGTTGCTACAATGGCTCCTATTACCCCCAAAACTCCCAGCACAAACCCCATCACCTGGCATATAGTGACTGCCATTTTAATTTCTCTACAACCAAGCTCAGACCTACAGAAATGAGAAGTGTTCTGGTGAACAACTCCTGTAGGGAATGGTACTTGACTAGTCCAAAGACTATTGTGTGTTTGTTTGACTTTCAGTGTTTAAACCAGATAGCTTTGTCTTTGGTAGAGCCCCACCTCTACACCTCACCATCAGAGCAATGTTCGCTCATGAGCTAGTCATGAAATTGGTTGGGAATGGGAGGAACTATGAGTTATGAAAATAAGCACGTCACTAGGAATTGTTTTCAGTTTTGGCGAAACTTTGATAACATTTTTTCTTAAAATGCAAATTGAAAGGCATGTTTTTCACCTTTCCCAGATTATTCTTGAAGTTTTATTAATATCAAATGAAAGCTATGTATTTTCTCATAAGATCAGATATTTAATATTACATTTAGCATTTAGACTTAAGTTAAAATTTAATATTAAACATTACACTTAAACACCTTAACAATGTTCAGGTTCATTTCCCTGTGCTGTTGATGCTGAAATACTGAGGCAGCTAATAAAAAGAACTACTCAACCTTCATGTTGCCCTATTTTTTCAAGTTTTTCAAAGAGGCATTTCTGTATTGATCATATAATATTGCAACATGTCTTCTTGTCAAGTGGCATTTTTCCAGTGCTATAAAAAAGGCAGTCATGAGACTTTTCCTGGAGAACAGTACTATGCTTGGAGACTTTAAGCCAAGACCAAATCACTGTTTCCTTTGAAAAAAAAATTGAAAAGTTTTTGTTTTTAAACAAATACATAAATTTTCAGGAGAAATAACATTATTATAATAATTTCAGTCTGGTTTGACGACTAATTACAGCACCAAGAATGCTTTAGTTACTTGGGCCTACTTTTTGGAATTCGCCCTCTAGTGGTTCGGACGCATACGTCCGAGTTTTCAATAACAAAGAAAAATGACATCCAATAAAAGAAACAAAAGTATAAAATCAACCATAAACAGCTTGTTGCACTACAAGAAACCTTTATTATAATATATGTACAAAGTTGCACAATTTTTGCGCCATGGTTATTTTGTAACAAGTTAAAACAAAATGACCATGGCAACCATCTTTAAACGGGTCGAGTGTCCGGAAGTGAAATATAAGTGTTAATAAAATGAAAACTAAGCACTTCGAACTATTTCTTTCACGACCAATAATTCATAAACCGTCACAGTATTAAGACAAAAGACACATTTTTCCATAAATATGATGTCAATGCTCTCAAATAGCTTGCTCACTCTTCGCAGAAAAATGTCAGTCGACATTGTTTACATTCGTGCTATGTTTTTCATCTTCGGAATTTTATAAGAAAACCATTGAACAGAATGACAAAGTTACCCTCGTTTGAAAGCTTGATCTCTTATGTACATAATTCAATCACTGTCATTTTTCATTGTCAAGTATTTTTTTAGATACATGCTCTGATTCCCTGCTAGCATACCATTTTTTATGCACTGAACCTTTGGCCATGGTTATGTTTCACCATAATAAACTTTTTGTATGAACATCAACTTTCAGTGTCATCTGCTTCATCCAATAGAGGTGCGTCTAAGGTTTGCAAAATGGTATGGGATGTGCTGATTGGGCATTGTTTTTCGCGCTGGGGACATAAATGCGCAACTTATTCTCTGCTGGTGCAGTTTTTGTGGGAGTGTCTTGAGTACGCAGAGTATGCAACCCTCGACATGTAAGTACATTTATTTACAGTTTACTCTTTTATTCTATAGATTTTTATAATTCCGTGATTCAGCAAATTATAATTAACATCTGCTTTGGTAACAATTGTATTATGGTACATAGGGAAAAGTTCCGCATCGCCTTTGTCAAGCTTTGCCTGTGCAAAGTAATGCGCAGCGCTTTTGACTTTTACTTGGACAAAGTTATGCAGGGCTTTGTTTGGGCAAAGTTATGCGGGGCACTTGTCACGCTTTGTTTGGGCAAAGTTATGGCAGTTAGGGTTAGGGTTAGAAACAAAATGTTTCTTATGACCTGTAAGTGGTAGTGCATTTAGAAAGAAAGACGCTATCCCAAAAAACACTGCTAGTTACACTGTGGCCAGTTTGGATAGGTTTTGGATAGGTCTTGGATAGGTTTTGGATATATTTGGCACAAGTCATGTGAAAGGCTCCCAGTCGCACCATTTGTTCTTTCCTCTGTAAAACCTGTTCGGCTACATCAAATGACATGAAATTGGGCACACATGTAGAAAACAAGTTAGGGAACCACATATTGAAAATTGGACCATGTACTTCTTTAAAATATTTGCAAAAATCCAAGACACAAAGACAGATTTTTGTATTTTTCCAGCTGTTTTTGTTATATTCGAATGTCCATAAATTATACACGGTTATTCATTTTGGCTATTGAGCTTCCAACAATCGATTGTAAAGGGGTCAGCTTTGATTTTAGGTATCAGGCATGTGTCTGTGACTTTTACATCTGAAGTTATAAGGTAATTATTCCAAAGAGGGAAGGAATGCCCCCTGCAATGGCCTCCCCAATGGGTCACTCCAAAGAGTGAAAGTCAAAAAGAACTGATAAAGGTACATGCTTTTGACGATTGCGTTTTCTCCCCTCATCATCATAGTCTCGCCCACCTCGTTTAATCTGAAGGAGAAGGCACAGTCATGAAAGAAGTATAATTAATTAATAAAGCAAGAAAAGGAGGTTACACCTTCTATGATTTTGGCAACAACAATGTGGAACAGGGACTCCTTAATTTGCATTGTGAACCCAACTAAAATCCAAATCCTCATTGAATCTACCCTTGTGTCGGGATCAGGATTATCTTGATTTTTTTGGATTAAATATATTCCAATTCAAACACAAACTTTGGAACAACACATTAAAAGATTAAAAACTGAGATTGGATTGGGTGATCTGATCTGATTTCAGAATCCCTCTTTTCCCTTTGAACAACCCATTTTCAAGATTCAGTCTATTCTGTTATCCGAAATACCATTGGATTACTTTTGAACAACTGGGCCCAGGTGATCAGCCTTTGCTTTCCAGAAAGGGACAAGAAGTCCCATTTTCTAGTCAGTTGGGATGACACCAAATGGAAGCAAAGTTTGCCTTACCACCAGCTGGGAGAGGTTCACCCCAGATACCACAGATCCCTGCAGCTTTCCCTACCCGCAGCTGGTTTACCACCTCAATAAGTTTGGGTGGTTCACAGCTTTGGACCCAGAGAAGTCCAATGTTCTAGCCAGAGCATCAGTTTTAAATAGCTGCTCAAAGTAGCCGAGCCAGCATGTCACAACTGCAGTGTCATCCATAAGGACCATTCCATCACCTGCCCTGACTGTGACTCTCCGAGGAACGGATTCAGATGTGCGGAATGCAGTGAGCTCCATTTAAACTAGGGTACCCAAAACCCAAAAAAGTTATGCGACTAAACAAGAAATCCAGCTTTGTGTTACAGGTCCCAGTTCTCCACTTAGTTCAGGGCACCCCAATTTAAACAGACTTTATCTTTTTTCACTTACATTTAGCCCAGGGTACCTTAAATATGACAAATTATCAACCAAAAGCATGTCAGAGAGACTGTTGCAGACATGTTCACAACAGACTAGAACAAATATGTGTGCTTACAGGATGTTTTTGACCATTAAAGGAGTTAACACATTCCTCAGAGGATATGTGAACCTGTACTTGCTGATCATTTAATTGTGATTCTGTGTTTGTAACATTGTGAGACTTACTTGCCATTTATCTTGTTTGGTTATAGGAGAGGATTGCTGAGAATATTATTTTCCATCAGGCCTCGTAACTATGACAAATCTGGGAGATTTTA